AATACAGGAGTTTGGGAGTTAAAAAACAACAGACTGGAGCTTTAAGTGGTAACACTTTTTTCCAGAGTATCCGAAGTTGCTTATTCAGCATAAGCTACAAGGAACTTTGATTAGGGTTTTCCCCTCTCCCTTTTTAAATGCCAGTTTCCTTCTCCAGGAACAACTCACTTGGTAGAAACCTTTAGGCACAATGGATTTTGAACCTTGGAGACAGACTGCCAGAAATGCCTGGCTCTCTATGCTAGCACCTAACCAAGCTGAACATTTCCGACACTCCACAACAAATCGCTGCTGCTGAGGGGACTGTGGGATAACGAAAGTCTAGCCATAGATCTTTCTCAAGTCCCCATCTTAATTCTGATCTCTAGGCTATAGTTGGATGAGAGTCTGCATAAATCGCCAATTCAAGTGGCAAAAGCAGGACGTCATCGCCTTGTTTCACAGCATGAGGAAGTTGATGTAGGAAATACCCAAGATCTGTCAGCACTGGTGTTTGTAATTAGTAATTCAGCAGACAGCACTCTTTCTTCTGAGTCACTACTAAACCCAATGCCCCTTGCACTCTTATACCTAAGGAAACCAAACGATCCACTAAAAGGGCCTGGGTCCTGTTTTCAGTCATCAGCATTGAAGTGACCGTTGTGCACACATTTTCTTAGGTTCTAAACTCTTGCGCAGCACTAGCCACAACGTGACACTAATTCCCCATCAGGGTTTTTGTGGATCACCATAATACAAATGTATAAATCAATAAAACAACCCCTAGGGCTTGCAGATGCAGTAAATAAGGGTATTAAATCACTTCCAAATTTCAATTTAGGTAACTTAATTCTGCTTATATAAATTCTCTCTCTCTCAAGAGAGCAGGGAAGAGCTTTTCTACTTCTGCCCTTCAAGTCATCTACAAACGCTATGCTGTTAAGCTGTCACATTACCTTGGGCAAAACCATCTCCCATAGATAAATCTATTAGGAAAGCAGTGCATTTCAGATTCTCTATCTAAGAGATCTTTCGCTGGTAGCTACTAAAGCACTATTTGTCTAAATCAACCAACTTATCTAAAAGTTGTAAACATGTGTTATGCAATGCATTTAGCAATTAAAATCCAGCAGTACTGGATAACTTGAAAAAAAAAAACTAGTGCCAATAAAAGATTTATTGTCACCAATTTAAAAAGCAAACATTTTAATTGTTTTGTTTAGTGCCCTCTTGAAAGTAAAACACCACAGGATCCAGCACTATTGCTACAAACCTTTATGGTGACTATGCATTTGGAAAAGCATGTGACAAAATCATTTATTCATATAACATACTGTTAACAATTTCCAGCTTTCAATAAACACTTGGATGCCTATCTTGGTGGGATCATTAAATCCCTGCTGACTTCCTGCCCGTTGGGCAGGGGGCTGGACCCAATGATCTTGTGAGGTCTCTTCCACCCCTCATATCTATTAAATCTATGAAAGGCAACCCCCAAATTCCTTTGCAAACTGCTTTATCACCTTCAGAGTCCTATCCAAGGTAAGAGAAGCGACTAGATAGCAGGATCTTTAGTGAAATGCAACTGACTGTTTAATATCCCTGAGGTAAGGCCTAACTGAGAAACTCTGAACATCCATATTTAGGTTTCTCCAAGTTAGAGTTGACTTAGATTGAAGTAAAAACTTTGGTTCCATTGCTAAATGAAAGGAATCTGTGTCAAGCAAACATTGCTACTCACCTGTTGTACCCATTTAGAGAGAAAGCACCCTGGGGAGATGCAGATGTGCTGCTCTTAAAGTAGTAAATACATCCCTCATGGATAATCACAAACCTCAGTGGCCCTTAAAAGGAGAGAGAGGAAAGGTCAGTTGGTTATTAAGTACTTTAATGACAAATCTGGTCAGAACCTCTTAACTCAGGCTGTTAAAACTGACTTCAAGTACTCGAGTGATAGATGACTAACAAGCCATATGGCATCACAGTCATTTTGTGTCTACAGAATTCAGTAGGGTGTCAGGCCTCTAAAATGAAGACAGCATTCTTCTGAGAAAAGCAAGAGGCAATATAGAGGATGCAAGACTTTGCTAGTGAGGAAAGCACCAGTAGGAGACTGCAACACAAAACACATCTGAAGTAGAAATCGACGTCAACACCAGCTTTTCCTTGGAAAAAAATCCACACCTCCATACAGTGCCTAAATTACAAGATGTTGGCACCGACTCCAAAAATCAACGTACACTTCCTGCTTTAACTGAAGCATTTTCAGAACTGATAATAAAACTCATCCATTTAATAGTTTAAAGAACAAATTTGAGCATTCATCCCCTTGTTGTCTGAAAGAATGTCACTCTTTCTGTTGCAATCAAATTATGTTTCTATGGGAAACATGAAGTGAAAAGAATGTAAATAAAAATCACAGCCATTACTTTCTTCATTTAAAGCTTTGTTCCAAAAGCAATTCCTGTTATTAACCATACACTATTCTTTAGGATGAGAATTTCCATGTTACAGACAGTGGTAAGAGGCCGGGGGTTGGGGAAAGGTATAGCTTCAGTATAGAACAACAGATTTGATACATTCCAATCTAAACAGGTAGATAGTTATGGCTCCCTTCTGAAAAGAAAGGCGCAAAAGGTTGACATAAATGGGGAGAGAACATAGATACATTTTTTTCAATGTTATTTTCGGAAGTCTTGACAAAAGAACTGAATTAGTGGAAAGAAAAAAGTGTTCCCACTGCTCCCACCATGAGGTTTAATCTTTTGAAACAACCCCTCCCCCCACAAATTGATGCATTGGGAATGGATTAATTAATTCATGAATATTACTTCAGTAAAATGAAGTCCACTACAGACAAACCAAGTGAAAAAGGGGTGTTAATATATACTCACTTAATACTAAATGCCTAATATATATCACAGCCCACAAGCACAACCAACGAGTTTTAGCCCCATTAATATCCACTCCAAACTTACATTTCATAATTGGCAGCTGCGTGCCTCCTTTCTTGTGTAGGTATCCAGACTTGGAAACCCCTCCAGGCATTGTCAGTAGGTTCTGGGCTCCAATCGCCTTCATTGGGACTGGCCAATGCTGTTCTTCTGAGGCCATTATTCTGCAGTTTAGAAAGAAAAGAAATAGTTTGTTCTGTGTAGCTTGCTTTAAGGAAGCAGTCTGGAAAACATGTTTAAGGAAATAACTAATATGATCTACCAGCCATAAATAAGTACCCATCTCACAGATTCCAGGAAGCTTGCAGTGCATTAAAACAAATAATGCAAAAAGTCCCAGTTTATTTTTCTCTGTGTCATGTAAGTGACAGCGAGTTGCCAGAAATTAAAGAAACTAACTTTATATTATGGCAACAGGCATCATAAAAGCACGTACATAACCCTTCCCCAACCATATATTTTTATAAAATTTACCACCAAATCAACTACATAAAATAACAACAGCATGCCACCTTAACGGTATGATTCTTTGCACTAAAGAAGGGTTAAAATCCCCCCCCCCATAGAGAAAATGACATTGTGACTGAAGTATGTGTCCCTCCTTTCCCACTTATCTCACAGTCAGTTGTGCCGTTATAAATAGGAATGTGCATTATGTAGCACTGTTTTCAGCGGAGCAAGCACCATGGTAAGGATATGCTCAAACGTGGGTTCATTCCCTTTTGATACTTACACGTTAATGATTGATGCCAAGCAGCACCAGGTACCTTAGCAATTATAGCTATTTCTACTCTCTCATTTAATGCATTTTACAAGCTACACTGAATATTAGGATCTTAAGGACTATTTTTATCAGTCTGGTATGTCACAAAGAGACCCTTCTTTCTTCAAATACCAATAAAAGGCATTATAATGGGTTTGGTTAAAGCCTGTAATTATGCTGTTCAAAGAAAATTCCTCCATGAACTGAACAAAAACTCTGACGGTCACATACAATGCTCTATTATACTCAGGTCACTACTGAGGACCTCTGCTGGCGAGAGCAGGACTAACCATTCCTCAATACTGAAGCCTAGAGACAGGAACAACATTGCTCTAGAACAGGAGTGGGCAATTATTTGGGCCCAAGGGACACGTAGGGAGTTTAGATGAGCTGGTGAGCCGAGCCAACACTCCCTTCCTCACTGTGCAACAACTCAACAAGACACCCTATGGGGCTCTGGGTGGGCGAGGAGCAGTGTTTGGGAGCGAGCCAGGCATGATCAACTCCCAGCATACCCTGCCCGGTGGGGAAGCGAAAAGGGTGAGTGCATGTGTGTCAGGGGAAGACAGGCTGCCTTGGAGTCAGCCGGGGGTGAGGGGAGGAAGTGAGAGAGGAGGCAGAGGGCGCATGCAGCAGAGCTTGCCTGCTCAGCAGCTGTCCCTGCAGCACCCCACATGGGGCTGAGCCCCACCAGGGGGGAACAGGGGCCATGCTCCTGCCCACACCTGCTGGCGCCAGCCATTGTGCAGCTTCTGGTGGGGCTGTTCCCAGTACAGCTGCAGGTAGCCAAGCTCGCATGGTCACTGGGAGGCAATGGAAGCAGAGCAGCACCCAGCTGGCTGCAGCCACATCGGGAGCAGCTCCACCAGAAGCTTGGTGCGCTGCCTGGGGTTGTCCTGCTCTCCTTGCCTCCAGCTTCAGCTGATGCTCCTGTTCCTGCTGTGCTGTGCTGTTCCAGGTGGGAAGCTTCAGCTGGGTGGCCCTTGACCAGTGCAAGGAGTTTTGGCTCCAGCTCCCAGCTGCCCGCCCCCCCCCACTCTGCCTGGCCACAAGTGGCCACTCATTGCACTGCCTGGGTGTAGCAGGGGGGATCTGGAGCCAGAGCTCCACATGCTGGGCAGGAGCTGCCCAGCTGAAGCTTCCCGCCTGCCCACAGTGGTGCAGCACAGCAGTGACGGGGCAGGGGGCCAGGGGAGCAGAACAGCCCACTGGCCTGGGAACCAGACAGTGCGTGCAGCTTCTGGTGGGGCTGTTCCTAGCGTGGCTGCAGTCAGTCGGAGTTGCTCTGTTCCCCTTGCCTCCAGCAGCAGCTCCTCCTCCCGCTTCTGGACCTGTGCTCCAGGCAGGCTGGGGGAAGAAGGGGCAGCAATGCTTCAGGTGAGCGGCTCCCACTGGAGGTGAGAGTAGTGGAGCAGCATCCAGCTGGCTGCAGTCACACTCGCAACAGTCCCACCAGAAGCTGTGCGCTGGCTGGATCCAGAGCACCACAGGGGCAGCTGTGGGCCAGATCCAGGCTGTGGGCTGTATTTTGCTGACCCCTGCTCTAGAAGCAGAGAAATGGAACCAAAATGTATATTCTCACATTTGCCACCCCCTTCCCCCACAAAAAATACCAGTATAGGTAGTTTATAAATACTGGAGTCCAAGAACCTGCTACACACAAGGCACCCATGTTGTTTCCCTAAGACATTAGGTTCCTTCAGCCTATGGTGACTCAAAACTTCCCTTATGAAAAGAGCAAGTAGCAGAGTTTTTCTCAATGACTCATTACTGTAGTATAGTACATATTCACAGGAGATACAATAGGAAAACACAGAAGTATGTTCCTTTCCATACTGGTTTCCTGATCAAACCAAGCCATTAAGCATTCTTTCCATGCCTGTTACATAAAATCCTAATTGTTCTGAAGCAAAGGAAATCCAGTCTTTTAAGACAGTGGAGGTGATATTAAAGCAAGAGGTGGTGCATCTCACAGTAACCTACTGAATTCCTTGTCAGAAGAGGACAGTAGAGAATTGCATGCGCTTTCTACCCCTAGTTTACTGGTTAGAATTCACTCTGACTAGTATAGCTCCATGCCCCCCATCACTCAAGTCCCCCACCTACATTTCAGGTATTTATGAGGAGTCACACAACTTGAGACTCTCCTTTGTTTCGCTCACCAGGCCTCTCTTCCCTCCTGTGCTCCATGACACCTTTCTCTCCCTGCTCTCACCACTTCTACCCCCTCACTTCAAATGTTCCCCAGTTGCCTCAGCTGGGCTTTCCCAGAGACTCTTCTTGAAAGAGCTTATAGTCCACGTTGTTCTCCCTTCCCTTTGAATCTCTACTTGCCTCTTCTACCGAGGTTGTCACTTCCACACCCTACTTCTCCCGAAGCAGTGACAAATCAACTTATGAATTAAAAACTACAGCAGTCTCCAAAATTGAAGAGGAATACATGGATGTTTAAGGGAGAACACTACACAAAAGTGTTTTGGGTCAGACATTTCAAGATAAGCAGGTGCCTTAAGAATGGGCTAAGTTGCTTTCCAAAGCACTCAAATTTATCCATTAATGATAAGTTAGTGAAATTTTATTCTTTCATGACTGATTTAATTTCCTTCTGATGAAGAGAATTCTGCATTCATACATATTTCAGTTGTCTAGTGTTACTTGCCCATGGAGGCTAGACAAATCAAGCTAAATTTTAGGCCTTTTTTCTTTTTTGTTAGGAAGGGAAGATAAAATAGGGGAAGTGGGTACAATATTTTTAACACTCAAACCAAATACAACAAAAAAGGTTAAAGGTTAACCCATTCTGATTCTGTAACCTGTGCTAAGTTCCACCAGTACAGAGGGGGTTTCCCTGGTGCTTCCCATTCACTGAAATAGTTCTCTGGCACATAAATGTATCCTCTCCTGCTCCAGCTATAAAACCCTCTCTTCTCACCCAACTGATCTGGATCGCTCACGAGCAAATTTGGCCACCTCACTCATGCAGGAGGCTCTAATAAAAACAGTGTATAACCAGGACACAGATACAAACACTTTAAATTTTACAAAGTTACTTAGTTTTGATTTGCAAGAAAAACTTAAGTTACATGGCTTTGCTTTCCATACTGCAGAAGCTAAAAGATGGATCTGCAGGAAATAGCATGCACTATTCAGTTGGCAGCAGACATCTGTGATAACACTGCAAATATTTCGACATTCTGGGAGTTAGTTCCTTTAAAATGAATGATGGTAAAAGGAATTAGTGGACAGAACTTTTCTTTTAAAAAAACCCCCCAAACTCCACACATTTCCTTATTCACAATCAAACAGATTAAATGTCTTGACATCTGCTTAGGTTAGAAAAGGCTACAATCTGAGTTATACAAGAGTAAACCCACAGGACTTCAGTGAAGTCTCATGAGTACAACTGATCAAACTTCACATACATTTCCAGGTCAGCTGCCTGAGAATTTCTTTTTCCTATTACTATTCTTAATACGGCAGATCCAACATGAAGACAGCACATTAGATCCTCACATTTCATGAATACTATCAAAAAAAAGTTCTGAAAGCAGGGTCTTCATCATTGCCAACACCACAGATGAGAACAGCAGCTTGACTTCCAAATACCAGCTAAATCAGCAGTGAAAGCAGTAGGCAGTCTCTGTAAAAACTGAAAGTGTAAGTGCACTTGTTTCAGGATCACTGAAAACAGACAGGTCTCCTCCACCTTGTGGATTTTAGATATCGTCCCACTTCCAAGAAATGCTTGAGTCTACACACCAAGGCAAAAGACCAGGTTCTGATCTTACTCTCCCTCCAATAAAGCCAACACACCTATTCAACCAAACTAGTTCAAATCTGTAACACAACACAAGTTCAGTGCACATGCAGTGCTTTCAAAATGGCTGAAATCAGTTTAAGATAAACTTGGATGGATTTAAGAAGATTTAACTGATTTAGGTTAAATCAGTTTACTGACCTCTGTCTCAGATTCCTTCCAGATTCAAGTTAACTCACAGCCCGCAGCATCCGAGGATGCTTTGCAGCTCTGCAACCCCGACTTGCAGGCTAGTTTTGGTCCATGCTGTTTGCTCCAGCTGATCAGGGAGGCATGCTCTAGTGCCCCTCGGCTTCTGGCCTGGGCCACTGCAGGCACATAGCTGCATTTCCAGAATCAAAAGTGAATGTCTGTTCACTTGCTTATCAATTCAATTTATGCATTTTATACTAATCTGTGACGATTGAATCAATTTAGCCTCAGAGACTTTTTGACTGTCTGTACTTTCACCTGAACCAGGACTAGAACATGACCACTTGCAGAGGCTACTTTACTAAAAGATACAAAAACAATTTCCTTCAGCTCACCCTACCCATTTCTCACAGAAACAACAAGCTTCTCCCCCCAGCCTTGAAATAAAAGGATATATTTATAACTTAAATCTAGTTGCTCTCACCAAGGACAAAAAACCATCCACAACAGAAAGTGGCAACTAAAGATATTCATCCTGACAGTACAGGACGAGAGCTTTCAAACACACCTGAGACCTTGTTCCTTGCTCCCTTCTTCCAATGAAGTCCCTGTGACAATGCCATGTAAAATAAGAAGATTATGCTGAGCCTTGGTAGTATAGTGGGGAGAAGGATAAGAACAGTATTTACAGGATTTTATTCAGCATTCAGAAGTTCACTTTAAAAGAGCATAGTATGACCTCCAGGGCCTAGGCCAGCTCTATCTATGGCAAAGGGCACAACACATTTGTAAAGCTCCTTTATTTGAAAGACTAGAAGTCAGAAAGTGAATTTGCAACATTCTTCAAGAAATTAACCAAGCATTGGTGCATTGGGTAGGCCCCAGTCTATAGTGCTGATCATTTGATCATGACAGTAATCATAATGAGTTATTGTGGACAAGAGTATTGCAACAGTGTGTCTGCAACAAAAGCTTGTCAAAGCCATAACAGCAAACAGCTGAAGAAGGATAAATGCCATTGACATCATGCTGGCCTCTTGGTTACTGAATTTCAGCCTGACTAGGGTGAGATTTCTTCAATCATGTTATAACGGCCTTTAGTTACTGAACCAATACGCACAGGGTTGCAAATTTCTGCAGCTGGTATAGCACTCAAATCAATGACCTAAATCCTATCTAGAAAACAAAACCCATTTTTATCCCTTCCTCCGTTATTCTCTAAAATTTAAAGTATAGGCACACAGCAGCTGAATTCAATCAAGGGCAGGCAGATTTACACAGTAGGGAAAAAAATCCAAAACGTAACACTGCCCTTGAATAAAATTTGGAACATATTGCAGAAAAACAAAATGATCACTTCTGGCCTTAAAACTATTATGCTGCAAAGATATTTGCTCTAAATTAAAAACATATGTAAACTGATTAGCAGCTTAATGCCTTGCAAAACGAAGTCTTAAGTGCCCCAATTTCCTGCTGAAATCTGCTGGAAGAGAGGGCACTTGGCACCATGTACGGGCTGTTTAAAATCTCTCAGAATTTAGGCGTAACACAAGTTTCTCTTATCACTCAGTCTTCGGCAACCAAATGACTTATCGTGATAGCTTATCCCTGGGGGGAAAAAAACGTTATCCATAGCAGAGTATTACCCACTGCTCTCTCTGAAAGACCACTTATGGATATGCTGGAACCCGAAAAAGTATTATGGGAAAGGAGGCCTGCAACTGGAAAACAAGTACAAACAAACTTGCCAAGAACACGATTCTTGCTTTTTCTTTCATGGAGTGTGTCACAATGCCTGCTCACCCTCCCCTGTGCCACACACACTTCTTACTTTTTAAACAAAGTCTATTGGATTCAATTTTTTCTTAATCCAAATAAGAAACTCAAAGACAAAGGAGGATTCTTTACAGGACATAGCATCCAGTTAATCTACTCCTTCTATAGTTAGGAGGAAAAGAAGAGCCAAAACACGCCATGAGTATACACTAACCTGATGACAAGGTCTGGCCGACACATATTTTTTCTGCTGAATGTTGCACCAAATGAATGTTTCCTTTGTATCAAATGTGCCATTAGCAACTTAGGGTTTCTCTTGGGTAAAAAATAATCATCCTTCTGCTTCTTGCCTGCATGTGCATCTAAAGGTTCAGTATCTGTGGTGGCTGCTGCTGTAGCTTGAGGTCTCATATACAGAAAAGAAAAAGAAACCCTGCCTTAACTGCTTTTGCTTCCACACCATGCAGTGTGGTCAAATGAGACATCTCAGCAATGACTTGCTTCCGTTTTTGCTTCCTGTTTCCTCTGGGGTCAGTGGGCAGTGTTATCTTTGTCACAGATTTCCTAATTTCCCATAGAAGGTAGCAAACTGAAAGTTAAGTCACAACCTGTGTCTAGCAGCCAAAAAGGAGAGACTATTTCATTACAATGGCTGTTTTGATTCTTTTAATCATCCACTTTTCCCATGGAAAAAAAAAAAGGGATTATGTTTTGTATTTCATATGCTTGAGTGCTAACTCTAGTTGAGGACTTGCTTGGGGCTTATGCTTCAGATGCTGCTAATTTAACTGCTTCAGTAGAAATGGCTTCACACATTTATTGTTTTTGTAAAAGCAACTCAAGGGTGCCCTTCTATCTCAGGGGAAGAGTTTAAAAACAGAATCTTAGAAAAACAGGGCTGAGGGGGCTGCAAGAGGTCACCTAGTCCAACCCTTGGATCACAGAAGCACCACCCCTACTTAACCTCCCCCCAACCCAGACAGATGTTTAACCAAAACTCACAAACTTCCTGAAAACAAATAGCCATCATTGAAAACCCCTTGCAGTCAAGGATGATTGTTTTCCATGACTGTCCCATCTGTGGATCTGAAGATGGCTGACAAGGTCAATCCGGGAGCACCAGACTCTGCTGCAGCTCAGGAACATGTTTCTGTGCGAGATGGGCAACTCTGGGTTCTTGATTTGGTCTGCGACATGCTGTTTCTGCCACTCCTGCTTTTCCACCCTCTGTTGTCATGAGGTTTCAAAGTACTGAGATCATTGCAGCAGACTCTTCCCTCCACTTGGGGCAGGCCTGGTCAATAGTCTTCCATGAGTTGATGTTGCATTTTTTTTTTTTCCAAGTTGGCCTTGAGAACATCCTTGAAGTGCTTTCTCTGCCCTCCTCTTGGGGGCCTTGACTGAGTTGGGAGAATAAAATTTGCTTTGGGAATCGAGTCACTCATCCAGATAATATGGCTGACTTGAAAAAGTTGATGTTGGATGATCATCGCCTTGATGCTTGGGGTGTTTGCTTGTAAGAGGATGCTAATGTTGGCGTGTCTGTGTTCCCACTCAAGCTGAACAATCTTCTGCAGAAAGCATTGATAGTACTTCTCCAGTGGCTTGAGATATCTCCTGTACACTGTCCATGTCTTGGCTCTGTACATTAAGGTGGGAATCGCAACTGCTTGATAAACCATGAGCTTGGTTTTGGATCTGATGTCACAATCTTTGAACACCTGTTTACTCAGGCATCCAAAGGCTTCACTTGCAGATTTGAGGTGATGTTCTATTTCTTTATCCATGTCAGCCTTCTGCGACAGATGGCTTCTGAAGTATGGGAATGTTCAATGGTCTCCAGAGTCTCACTGTGAATTTGAATGATCAGAGCTGGGGACTACTCATTAATAGTTTGTTGATGGAGGACCATAGTCTTCTGAATGTTAAGCATCAGTCCTATTTTCTTGTATGCCTCAGTAAAGATGTCAACGATTACCTGAAGGTCTGCTTCTGAGTAAACACACATGACAGCATCATCAGCATACCGGAGCACGATTACTGAGGTCGGGGTGGTTTTGGTTTTGTCAGCTGAGATTAAACAGTTTACCATCTATTTGGTGGTTTAGGTCCATTCTGACTGGAAGTTTGCTGGTGGTCAGATGTAGCATTACGGTGAGGAATATTGAGAAGAGTGTTGGAGCAATGATGCAGCCTTTCTTAACTCCTGTCTTAACCTCAAAGGGATCTGTGATAGATTCATTATTGAGAACTACAGCTTGCATACCGTTATGGAGCAGGCAAAGAATGGTAATGAACTCTGATGGGAACCTGTACTTCAGAAGGATCCTTCACAGTGCTTCTTGGTTGACAGTCAAAGGCTTTGGTGAGGTCAAAGAAGGCCATGTAGAGAAGGGGCTGCAAGAGGTCATCTAGTCTAACCCTCAACTAGCAGAAGCACCATCCCTACTTAACCCCTCACCCCCACACAGATAACTGGTTAACCAAAACTCAACAAATTCCTGAAAATAAATAGCCAGCCAGTGCACCCTGCATTTGTGCAGGATGCTGGACTAGATAACCTCATATCCCTTCTAACCCCTGTGATTCTAATCACTTAAACTGATTCTGAAACCTTTTGGGCTGGACTCAATGATCCTCTGGGGTCCCTTCCAGCCCAACTGTCTATGAAATCTTATCACCTACAGTAAGAAAATTTTGCTCAACCCTATACAAAACTGAAAACTTTTCCCAGGAATGGGCAATGTAAAGTCAAAATTCAGTATGCTAAGGACTACTAAATGAGAATGATAAATATCATTTTTCCATTACCATGGTGTACCCTTCATCCAGGGCCCCTAAATTAGAAAAGATACAAAATAACTCACACCCCCCGATGTTGATGGGAATTAACCAGACAGTATTAGGGAATGCCACAAGATGGAAAAAAGCACGGTTTACTTGGTGATATCTTTTATGGACGAACTTTGTAGTTGGGAAGAGATGTGGACAAGCTTTTCCTGGCCCATCACAGTCACAACACCATTCTGATCCTACTATAGGATAAAGAGAACAGTTAAGACACAACTTGAGAGAAATAATTAGTACATGTCACATTAGTAGAGAAAATGGAATTTTACACGGATGGAAAAACCAAGTACAGTTTTCTTCACTTATTCTGTTGGATCAGGTACAAATATGTCACAAAACAGGAGGGAAGAACCTTCATGCACAACCATGACAGATAAGGGAGAAGTGTGCAAAAAGGTCAGGCATAGGGATTTAAAAGACTATAAGCAGCTCTTTGGCAACAAGAGAGGCTATGGTCATATTACTGCACTGAACTCTCACTCCATCTAGACTCAATAGAATATCCAGGTCATACTCTGAACTATGCTGGAAGGCACAAAAAAAGTACCTTCATATATGTGGTACAACTGTTTTGTCATTCAGGGTTTCTGGCTATCTTAAGAAAAAAAACCCACAAAAAACAAACTGCACAATAGCTGCCTTGTGGCTCAATTCACCAACATTTTCCTTCCTGGCATATACCCTAAGCTTCCAACCAAAGAGATCTCTATGCATTCACCTCACGTCAGCAGCTGTCATTGCGGATAGTCAGAACATGGAAATGGGAACCCAACAAAACATGGGAAAACAGACAGAGAGAGAACATATTTATGGTACGTGTTTATCATGGTAAAGTTATCTGCTTCAGTAAAAAAAAAAAAAATACAAGTATGTGGATTTTTATGCTATCCATGTGCCAAGCTACAATTATCTAACACAAGTGGACCATAAAAGAAAAGCAGCATGGAAATAGGTCTACTCAGAAATGAAGAGACAACATGGAACTTAGTTCTGTTCTCCTTCTGAGCAAAACAGTAACTTTGAGGAAGGTCACCAAAACTTTTGTGATCATGGCTTGGACTGCAAGATGGTCTTTCATTGTATTATTCTGCATGTTTCTGATATGATTATATGACTGTATTAACAAAAAAAACTAACATAGGCACTGGGGAGGAGGTGGGGGAAACAGGGATTGTACTAGGTAGAAACACATTTCTCAACTTCTTGCCAGGCAGAAGTGGTGAGTGACAGCAAGCCTTGCACACCCGTTCACAACAGAGGCTGACAAAATGTAAGGTGCAGTAAGAGATGGATTAAATGCTTCAGCACTTCTCTGTTAAAAACATTAACAAACCATCACACTGGGTGGTAAGTAAGCAGTCCCATTCCTCAGGTTCCTGATCTGGGAAATGGAAGACATTATCTCAAAGCTGCAGCTGAAGTCAGTTGTATAGTTCCCCACCGGATCAGCAAATTAAGTTACTTGCTCTAAGCACTATACCTAGTAGGCCTGTGCGAAGCAGCAAGCATTTGCTTCAGATTCAGTGGATTTGGAGGGACACTGATTCAATTTGGTGATTTGAATAACTGTCCTGATTCAATTCCGCCAATTTGGATTTGGAGATTTGGCCACACACTATAATGGGGAATCACTAAAATACCTATGTCTTTTTTTTTTCTTTTTTTTTTGCAGATTCAGATGAAAACAGAAGGGATGGTAGCCCCCTCTGAGGGCATGAAGCCTGCCAAGTTTCAAGGAGATAGGTGCGGGGGTTTCTGTGAAAGTGCACCTCAAACTGTTGAAAGCAAAACTCGTATCACTTGTGTGTGTTAAGGCAGAGTGGGATGAATGCAGCAGGGATGGTAGCCCCTTATGTGGGCATGAGGCCTGCCAGGTTTCAGGCAGATAGGTGCAGGGGTTTCTGTGAAAGTGCACCTCAAGGTTCTGAAAGCAAATATAAAAAGGAAATAGGTGCAGAGTGAAGAGAGTGACACTCACTGTCTGAACAAGGTGCTTGGGGAATCCCAGCAGTGGGAGGTTCACCTTCAGGAACACCAACTGCTTCACCAAACCAGGATCCAAGGAAGTGCGGTGGGGTGTCACAGCATCCCCAGCAATGCTGAACACCCTCTCGCTTGGAACACTGGTTGGTGGACAGAACAGGGCAACCATGGCCAGATCCTGCCACACCTGGATGCAGGTTGCCCAATAGGCCAAGAGGTTGCAGCGCAGCAGTTCCACGTCCTCAGAAAGATTGGTAGCCACCGAAGCCTCTGTGCTGCCTGCCTTATGGTGGGGTCTGGTGCCTCTGGACTCCAACACTGAAGCCATGCCCCTAGCCCACATTGGCAGTGGCTGTGGTGGAGGAGATTAGCTTGTGATTGGAGTAATACTGAGCTGAGGCTCTCGGTGGCTTCAAGGAACAGCTTGAGAACTACCAAGATCTGGGAGATGGTATCCCACTCCATTTTGTTAAGGGGGCCACTGATCCCAATATCCCTGACTACACCAGCTCATAGATGGCCTTCTGTTGCTCAACCAGCCTTTCCAGCATCAGGTATGTGGAGTTCCACCGAGCCTCCACATCCTGCATGATTTTGTGCTGTGGGAAGTTCAGCTCTGCCCGTTTGTCCCACAGCATCTTGCCCCCCTTGATGCTCCAGTAGAAGTAGCCTGCTGCCTTCCTGCATTTTGAAATCAGCTGGCTGGTAGTGACGGAGCCATCACTGGGAGCCCTGTCCCCCTCCAAGGTATCCCTGACTACAAGGTAGAACTTGTGTGTGACACAGCAGAGGCCAAAGTTGGCATCACAGACCACCATGCCCATATTGGCCCTGTAGTCGGTGACTATGAACCCGTGGGTGAGCTCGCTCTGCCCAATGAGCTACCCCTGCACCATGTGGGTCATGGTCATCATGATCTTCTTTGCTGTGTAGGACCCATCCATCACCTCGGCTTGAAGGAGAGCCCACAGATGCCCTGATTGCACCAGTGCTCGTAAGGAAGAGTAGGTGTGATCTCCACCACAGCTGCTCCAGATGTCTGAGGTGAAGTGCAAGGCTACCTGCAGACCTGCCTTGCACAGCTCCTCCCTCAAGTACTCCCTGCATTCCTCATACAGGGAGGCACCACCACCCTGCTAAAGGTGGTGCATGCAGGCACTTGGTATGATGGGGGCCATGAGTGCTATGAGCCGCTGAACCCTGGACACTCAAAGAAGGGCTGGCCATCGAAAGCAAGCA